GTGCTGGCTAGAATTATTGCACTATTTCATTAACTAGCTATTTGACTTTGGGCAAGTCAAGTCACCCCTACTAGTTTCATATTCCTCATATGGAAAATGAGGGTTGGACTAGATGATATTTCAGGTCCTGTCTAACCTTAAATATTTTATGATTTGAGGATATACTTGTTCCCTTTGTGCATCTTTAGTACTTCTTTGTCAGCAGAGGTGATACCTAATGACTACTCATCCCAAAGGCATTGAAAATGCTTTTTCACCCATCAGCTATCAGCAAATTATAAAGAGAAAAATCTAGTTGTCTTATCTTCAGAATGAATGTTAGCATGGTCTTCACACATGCAATGGATTCTTCTTGTCTTGAGCACAGTAAAGACCCAGGGCATCCCTTTTCTCACTGTGTACCCTTGTTGGCACAACTATCTAGTGCCATACACTTGAGTTAATTTGAGGCATGGTACAATAATCACATTAGGCTTTATATTATTCTACTGAACTTACAAATACTTGCATTATTCTATTGAACTTACAACTATTGTACTGAAGACAACACAAAAAATGCAATGGCTGATTAAACAAAGGAGTTTTAATCTTCAGTTATGTGTTTGTTGGTTTTTAACGGAATGGATTGCTTGATACCACATATTCAGAACTCTGGCCAGATTCTGGGTCTATGACTCTATGCACATGAACAACTATTTGAACAACTTATTGAAATGTTGAAAAAATAAACCCCACAATTGTGTGCTTGCTTTATCTACACAAAGGCAGTTTCATTGATTTGTTCTTGTTTTGGACTGAATTGAGTTTGTATTGGTATCAGATTAAGAAAATCTTGGTGGATCTATAGTAGAGTCTGACCCAGTATCTGGAAGTGGGTTCTTTGAAAAGGTAAAGTTTGAGTAACTACAGTTGGATAGAGATGGCAAAGGAAATACAGAATCTGAGTGTAAATAGCTGCCCCAAATTGGTAGGGATTTTTGAGTCTATCTGCTTGTCTCATTGTAAAGCCAGTCTATGTAAATCCAGAAATACTCAGGAATTCTGGAGAATTGGCCCTTACTGCTCCTTCCCAAACATTCCCAAGAAGGATCTTTTGGCTCTTTGGAGCAAATATGACTTGTCTATAATTGTCTAGACCCAGGCTTTGTAACAATCTTTAAGTACATAAAAAGATAGATATATATATATATATATATATATATATTTTTTGGTGGTGAACAGCTTTTCTCTATTGCTGTGGTCTACACAGTTCAAGAGGTTAATGGTTAAGTTGTAGGGGTGGGGGGAATGCTGGGAGAACAGCAAGAAGGACTTCCTGTAACAAAGTTATAAAGAAAACAGAAAGGAGCTTTGTGAAATGTCTTTCTTTGCAGGTTTTTAAAAGAAGAATAAATCATTATTTTTCTGTAATGGCTAGAATGAGCTTGTCCAAGAGCAGGGTTCTTAAGATTTTTGTTTCATAGATCTCTTTGGCAAGCTGGTGAAGCCTACAGACCCCTTCTCAGAATGTTTTTTTAAATGTATAAAATAAAACACATAGATTTTCCAAAGAAACTAAATATATGAAAGACATTATCAACCTCTAAAAAAAGAAAAAAAAAAGGCTCAGCTGTCAGCTTAAGATCTTCCTGTCTAGTTGATCTTTCCCTTTCCAGTCCTAGAATTCTATGAATGTAGCTTTTCCTGTAGGGGGCAGCTAGGTGATACAGTGGATAGAGTGCAGGACCTAGAATCAGTCTTGGGTTCAAATACAACCTCAGATACTTATTAGCTGTGTGACCCTGGGCAAGTCATTCAATCTGTTTGCCTCACTTTTTCCATCTGTAAAATAAACTGGAAAAGGAAATGGCACACCACTTTGGTATCTTTGCTAAGAAAACCCCAAAAAGGGATCATGAAGAGTTGAATATGACTGAAAAATGACTAAACAGCAAAAGCCTTTCCATCAATATTTTGCTTTCTAGTTAAATTGATAAAATGGCATCAGAAAGATGCCTAATTTAAGAGCATGACAGGGGCCAGGATTGAAATGAACTTTTTCAGAGTCTTATAGAACATTTTACATTTTCCACATAGTAAGTCCTTTAAAACATTTAAATACCCACTTTACAGTGATTGTCAATTGATCAGTGTCAGGGTTAGATTCTTTACTATTCTGACCAGTGTGGTTTTCTGCATCTATGTAGTTTAAGCTTGGATCAAATGTATAATAGCCATATTGGGGTTCAAAGCTTCAGCATCCAAATCTTCTGGCCTATGTGAGAAGTAAACCACTTCCCTAATCCAAGTACTGTGCAACTGGGAATGCAAGAAAAGTCTTCTGCCAATCTTGGCTGCACAGTGGAAACTTGACCCATAGAATGTAGTTAGGGGCATGGCCAATTGAATAGGACAGCTGAAGAACAGGCTACATCTCTGCCAGATTCCTGAAATAGTTTTACAGCTCATCAAATTGTAGGGGAGAATTGAAAAATAATATGAATATTCTTTCAATGAAAGTTTTTGTTATTGTTGCTCCTTATCCTGAAACATCTAACCATCTCTTTTCTCATCCAGTTTCATACTGTTCATACTGTTCAAACAGTTCATACTGTTTCTGTGACAAAATTATTATATTATGTAAATATATGTGTACACACATATATGCATATATACACACATATATACATATATAGTTACAGATATAGTTGTAATTGTAATTAAAATTATAGGTATATTGCCTTCCGTGAAGTCATCTTCTTCTCAGACATATACTAATCTCTTTAATTTTCCACTGGTTGATTTCTGACTTGAGCAAAAAAGCTCTGATCGTAATAATTTTGGGTGGTTCTCTGGATGAAACAAAACCCAAATAGCCTATCTCTCTAGGCTCAGGTAGTGTGTGTGCAGTATCTTTCATAGCTGAACTTAGTGTTCTTTTTAGATATAATATACACATCAAACAGGGGCCTTGATTTGATTCTCCCATCTCAGCAATTATTTTTGAATCACGTTTGTAACATTGTAGACTAGGGAATGCAAAAAATTTAGATGTGATTTATGGGAAAGAGTGAGCTGTCTCCCCCCATACAGATTATAAATGTGCTTGATTGGCATTTAGAAAGAAAGAAGACATATCATATTAAAATTTAACTTCCATTTGGCCAGACTACTGTCCAGACTACAAGAACAAAGAACCATTCAGGAAGAAACCAATGATCTAAAGTAATGGCGATTTCTATGCCTGCATTAGAAATAATGAAAAATAGAAGGGCCAAAGCCATGCCCTCATTGTAGGGTCTATACAGCTTCACATAGAAGATAATTTTGTCCAAGATCCTGGGATTGCCTAAATTGCTCAACTGTTTTTCCTCCTGAATGACTCATAAATTGTAGCTATAATATATTTGACTTGGACCTATTGGAAAGAGGAGTATAAGACCCAGAATTCACTTGGTAAAGAAAGACCAGGAATCCACACTTCTCTTGGAACAAAACAGTCACCTCTGAGACAAAAGGCATGGAAAAATTGTCAACTAGAGCCCGTAGACCTGACACGAATTTGAACACTGCATATTCAGGGTCCAGGTCTGAGGTGGCCTTGGGAGAGACAGTAGACAGTCCAAAAAGGTTCTCTTACTCTACCACTCTCCAACATTCCTTGTTCTAGAGAACATCATCCTAATGACCTTGTAGTCTCTGAAGAAGGCAGTTTGTGTGACAAAGAAATTTAGGTTGAACAGACTCATTAGACCAATTCTGTGCTAATAAATAATCTTTCATCTCTCAGAGGGCTTAAATTCCAAAAATGACAGTGACTGTATTCTGAGCACCTCTCAGAACCACTATCCAGTCTGGCTTAAAGGATAGTGAATGGCGCCAAGGTTTAAATGCCCTTGGTCCCTTACAAAATCAATTGTCATTATGCTAGTGGCCAACCAAGTACAAGAAGCCACTGATATCTTTAGCTTCCTGTGTAATAAATAATGAGAGACATACTATGTGTCCCCTTAGATTCAGAGCTCATGATCTGACCTGCCCGGGAGCTCAGTTCATGAGCATCTGGCAAGGGGTGTTTTCTGTAGAAAAATAAAGTAACATAAATGTATTATAATTTATTCAGTTTGAAAAGAAACTGGATGGAAGCATCAAAGTTATTCAATGTCATGAATGCATCAAGCAAACACGCAACCCACAGTGGAAAAGGCAATTAAATAACCAAAAGAAAATCCCACACATCAAAGAGAGAGAGGGAAATAGGTAGGCTATGGAAATCAGTCTTTTCTCTATTATCAATTTAAAGAGTCTGAACATAATGTTAAACAGAGATCCCTCTTAAATTAACCACAATAATATGATGCAGAACTGGGACTCTGGGTAAGAAAAGGGGTCACCTAGGGGGAAATATGAAGGGAAGGAAGGGGCACCAAGGCAAATTTTTTAATATTAGTTTTTAAATATATGCACATACTTGGAATCACAGAAAATTCTGCTCTCCATGATATGCAAGTGTTTATTTTGTGTAAAGTAATCCCATTTATCACCCTGATAGTTCCAAGTCTCTGGTAGAAAATAACATGGAGAATGGTGGTAGGGGGCTGGAATTCTCTAGTGAAGGAGTGAAGGGGGCCATTTTCAAATCTCTTCTTAGGTGCCTTGTCTCTAGTTCTACTTAGCATGGAATGCTCAAAATAGACAGCGGTTTCTCTGCTGCTAAAATATCAATATGAAAATACTTTAAAACATATATTTAATAGCATAGCTATAAATGTAAAATTTCTTTCATCAATTCCTTTAAGGTTCTCACAGCTCAAAAAAGTGGAGTTTTTGTTGGCCTTGCTAAGTTTGCTAAGACCCTTGCAGACCAGTGGGCAGGGCAATAGAGAATATCTTGACTTTTTAAGCTGTGGAAAATAGTTTTAGTAAACATATGACCCTAAAAGGGCTCTACTTTTGAAGAATATTCAATTTGGTTTGGGGCACTTTTAAAACAATCATTTGGCACTTCAAGTTTGAAGTTCTTAGGCACAATGTGACAAAGTCAGTTTGGTCAGTCCCTCCTCATGCATTCTGTATAGTAGCTGAAACTCGGCAGGAAGCTGGTGGGACTCCTGCCACTTGGTCGTAAATTTGGTTCCTTTTTTGTCATAGTAATGGTAAGGAAGGTCTTCCCGAGTGTTGGGGTCAAATCCAAATGGCCAAAATCCATACAAGTGGATCTCTTCACACATTGCAGATGCAAGGGTGTACATAAGAATACCTGTGCTCAGCCGTTTGGGTGTCAACCGTTTGTTTTTCCAGTACCTGTAGAATAATAAGCACATGCTGATTTAATGACTGAGGCTTTGTGTCACAATGTGACAGGTCAATGTGCCTCAGCTTAGCTAGGTGATAGGTGGGTTTCAGAGAGTATAAAGTCTGCTATTCAAGTTAGGGCTTGCAGAGTTCTGTCCTGGAAGTGCTTGAAGATTTCAATGTCTTAAGGTCTTTCAAAAAAATGACTGCTATGATTTAGTGGATGAGAGGGCAAACAAATTTTTTATACTTCATTTATTAACTGCCTACTATGTGTAAAGTAGTCAGTAACACCTAGACCGAGGTTTTGCACATACTTGAGGCAATGAGGTAGAACAGAAGGACTTCAAATCAGGAAGACCTGACTTTGAGTCCTACCTTAGACACTAGCTGGGTAACCCTAGGGCAAGTGACTTGCCCTCCCTCAGCCTCAGTTTTCTTAGCCATAAAATAGGAATGAGAAAAGCATCTATTTCACAGGATTATTGTGAGATCAACTGGGAACAAATGTAAAGTGCCTTCAGAACTTTAAAAGTATTATACACGTACTAGTTATTATTATTGAGTATTTGATTTGTCATGATGAGGTACTCCAGGTTTGGTAATTTAGTAGACCAGGGTAGATCAATCAGTTCATCAATAAACATTTACTAAGTGCCTGTTATGTATCAGACACTACAAAAAGATGAAAATAAAATGGTTCCTGTTCTCAAGAAGCTTGTATTCTATCCAGTGAGACACATATGTACATATATCTATAGAAAAAATATTTTTAAAAAATACAAGGAACTTCTTATAGTGAAAGCATTAGCATCTGGGTAGGGGTGGATCAGGAAAGGTGTCATGTAGGAGGTAGTGCTCAATCTGAGTTCTGAAGGAAACTCATCTATAACTAGCAATATGCTTAGTAGCTAAGTCTTAGGGAGTTGCTTGAAGAACATAAAGGTCAAATGACTTTTCTAGGCTCACACAGCTAGTAAGTTTTAGAGGCAAAATCTGAGCCCAGGTCTTTCTGACTTTTAGTCCAGTACTCTCTCCTATATTCTCTGTGCTTTTCACATAGTAGGAACTTAAAAATAGATGGTTGTTGAGTATATGAATGAATGAAACATTATCCATTTCAAAGGATGCATGTGCTCCTAAGACACAGGGACCTTTCTGGCATTTTCTTACATTGGATGAGTTTCGTTAGTTCCTTCCTATGCATTCTTAATAATAGCTGAAACTTGACAGGAAGCTGGAGGGACTCCTGTCACTTTGTCACCTGACTCTTTGCTGTAATATGGGAATGTACAATGCATATATTTCTATATACATATATACACAATATGTGTACTGTATAAACACATGTAGATATGTACATATACAAAAATACATTAAATCTCTTGGTTTTAGAAAGATTCTAGACTCTGGCTTTTGTTTGCAGATTGTTTGGACAAGCCAAGGGATGTTTGTGAAGGTGGTAGTTATGGACAGGAGCAGGCAATGGATTCTCTTTCTCATCTTCTGACCAGCAGCAGCTCAATTGCCTATTAGTAAACACAGGTCTAAGTGTTAGTGACCCATACCCTCTCTACATTTAGGGGAAAATGCTAACTTATGCTTATCTCCCAGTTAGGAATGACTCTGAAACCCCAAAACAAGCTAGAATATTGTATTTTTAAAATTTTTGGCTGTGACTTTCACACTTGTTCTGTCTGTGAATTTGGATTTACAATGGACAAAATTTCATTTCTGTCAGACATGTTTAATTTGAGCTTGACCTGGATGTTGTGGAGCTATGTTAAAAACCATATAGAGAATTCAGCTAAAATATAATGGTCTTTCTATTGGAGTTGCCAAATCCTTGAAGTGTCTTACATACTACCTATGTGTCAAATGATTTACCCTTCTTTTTCAGCTGAGAGTAAAAGATTTTACATAAATGTTAAAAACTCCATGACCTTGATTTTCTTTTAACACCTTTGTTTCACTGAGGTAACTGAAGCTAAAGGGAGCTGTATATACCCTCAATGTAAAAACTGTTATGGTACCAGAGGTAGGGTATCTTCTATGCAGATGGACATATTTAAAGTCCTCTTTCCCTTAAGCTCTTATTCTACCTCATAATGTAAGTGAACTGCTCAATTTAGGTAAGAAGTTAGATACTCACAAGCTGTTTAAGAAGGACAAGTTGAGAGTTGAGGCAATTTTTCAGGTAATTTAGAATAAGGAAAATCTTTCTGCCCAGGAAAAGAAGAATTATTCATACAGTTATTTATAGCCCCTTTGGCTATTTTCATTTAATAAGTTATACAGAGAACTAGTCAATTTCCCATTTTATTTTTTTCACTAGTTATTATAGAGAATGTGTTCTCTTCCAACACATTTAACTTTCCTGAATCCAGTGCTTCCAACACTAGTATAGTAAATGACTTAAAAATGAATTACTCTTAAAGAGTTAATCAACAACTTATTCTCATTAGGCTTACTTCTCTGGTAACATAAAACTTAGACATTTGTGAATGCAGGTAGAAAACTTGGAGAGAAGTATTAAGTTTGAGAAAATACATGAAAAAATGAAATGATTATTCTAACCTGAATAAACACCCCTGCTGTGACTTCTGTTCTACAAGAGTTCACATATAAATTACTCTTATTTGGGAACAGCACTTAGGGAATGTCGACTTAGAGAAATGATTCAAAGAAAGTTTTTCATCCTTAGTATTGTTGGGAGAAGTGGTATGGGATTAGAAGATGGCTAACAATACATTATTCACCAACAATACATTATTATAACTCTCAACTGAAGCTGATTGTAAAATTTGCAGATTCTCCAGGTTTTTTTTTTCACTTGATCTGGGTTTTGCCTACGCCTCACCCAACAAACTAGATAAAATGGGGGAAATGGATTCAAAAAATATGTTTTACTAGTCTTTAGGCTTTTCTCCATGAATAGAGATTGGGTAGAGAAAAGCAAAGGAGACAAAATTTGACCATTGCCTCTTAGCAGCTCAAAGTAGAAGACAAGTTAAAATGATTCCAATAGCTAGCTGCAAGTTGGTCAAATAATCATTTGTGTAAACTCTCCATAACAACCAATTGTGAATGACCCTCCCACCATAGATCAAGTGATTAATTTGCTATTTGAGCAAAAGATGGATTAGATGCAGTAAAATATACACACCTGTTGACATGTTGCATTATATTTCCAGGCCAAGCCAATTGGACCTTTAACTGACCTCTGTGCTCGACAAAAAAATCAACTAATGTCCTGGTGACAGTTGTTGAAGTATGGAAGAAAAATGCAGGGATCCAGAGGATGGCCCCATCAAGCTTTTTTAAACTGAGGAAAAAGTTGTTACGATCCTGAATGGTCAAAAGATTGTTGTAATACTTTTCCAGGATGCTAGGATTGAAGGTGGTAAGGTTGGTTTTCCTTCCAACATCTTTTTGGAATGCCTCAGTGGGGGCAAAATTGCAACGGAAAACAAAATCTGATTTATCTATTTCTTGTCCACACTGGCTCCCTGTCAGGATCCCACTATTTCCAACCACAGTACAAATATTATAATGCTTATTCATAATGGGTGACACATCTGGAAGCAGTGATCGGAAGTTATTGCTAATAGAAAAAACATATTTATGGCTGGAATAATCATAGTGCATCAGCTGTCCAATCCGAACACTATTCTTGGTCAAAGAAAAATTTTTTATTACATCGACATGTTGAAGAATCTCTTTCCTAAAATAAAAAGAAATTCATTAAATGTATCCCATTCAAAACAATTGATTTTTCAATTTTATTTCTTTTATGCTACTGTTTCATTCAGAAAATAGTCTTAAAAATTTTGAACCAATGGAAAAAGAAATCTATTGATTACTATCATGGTCTTTGGAAGGAGACCAGCATAATATTATAGGATCATGCTAGTCCTTGGGTCCAGTGTTCTAAATGTGGGCTTCTTTCTTGATAATAAAATTTGGGGCTGACAATATGCTAACTATAGCTATCATATACCTGTTCTATGTCTTATATTGAGGATGTGGATAATGAAAAGGTGACCCAGGCTCAGTCTGTGCCAGCAAATAATCAATGGGATACAGCTACTATCTGTCATTGGGTAATCATGTTAACTCATTTAAGTTGGAGACCTGGCCTTTGTTACATGGGATTGCTTTCTTGCTATCGGATTGCAGTACACAAGGCATATCAATTACCACCTCTTTTTTTTTCTAAAATAGTGCCAAATATCTATGGGAGAGTCAGTACAGTATTATATGTTATTGAAATATTAAAATGGTAATAGCAGAGGGGATAGTTGAATATTTAATGAAAATGAGATGATAATCTCATCAAGAACCTTTGAATAATGAAATAGGGAATTAGGGAATATTGCCTTTTGAGATGTAGAAACAAAATGTATTTGGAGAAAATTAAAATTCAGAAAAAAAGAATTATTATAAAACACTGAAAATATGCCCAGTACTCTAGTTTGGCTTTTATGATGATTTTTGAGAAAAATAAACAAATCCTACATTGTTAAATCATTCAAAGTATTTAAGAAAAGCAAGTAACATGTTGCTTTGTGGTCAAATCCACACAAAATATGCAATTAACAAACAAATTTGAAAGACTTAAGATCTCTGACTTAAGATCTCTGCAATGACCAATCATAATTACAGAGGACTGAGGATTATCCACACTTCTCACATTCTGAGGGAGAATAGATTCATGATGCAAAATGACGTGAACATAAACAATGTGTGGGAATTTATTGCTTTATACATATCTTTTAAAAGGATCTTGCTTTTCTTTTAAGTGGAAGGGTAAGAGATAGAGAAAATAAATATTTGATAATTGAAAAAAAATGAAAAAACCCAAAATATTCAGTTGCTTTAATTTTATTTATTTATTTATTTATTTGTTTGTTTGTTTTAAATAGAACTGAAAGTAGATGTTATGGCCAACATCTCTAGGCCACTTCATTTGATTATGTGTTTGTTTTATTGTACTTATCAAATTATAAATCTGTGTAAGGGGAAGTGTGTGATCCAGAACTTAGTGTTACTCAAAGTAATTTCACAATGGCAAAGGGAAAATATGTTCTGTTATTTGTTCATTTTTTATGTTATTGACTTAAAAATGGAATTTTTGTGAAAAAATTTTAAAGAAGGAAATGTTTTGAAAGGTTAAAAAATCACAAGGTGGGAACATTTTCATTAGGTTAGAAATATGATGAGCAATTGGTACAGAACTTAATCAGTTGAAAATTAGCATCTCCCACAAAAGTTTTCTAGGTTATTAGCTAAAAGAGTTGTATAGAAGCCCATATCTGGATTTTTAGAAATAATTTATTTTATTATGTTCTAATATCTATATACTGAATTTTAAAAATTGAATCATAGTCACTGAAGATAATGTTTTAAGACAATGCCTTGATGTCATCAATAAGTTTCTCTCATATTATTTCTGATGAGATATTATATGTCAGTACATTAAAAATGTATACCCTGCGTGGGTAGGTGCTATAACCACCATGCACTGTTTCTTAAACTTAAAGCTTTGTGGAAACAGATCTCCACGCCTCTAATGAGTACACTAGATGGCTCACGTTTCATTTAGCAGTATAATAACCCCACTAAAGCAGCAGCTTAACTCAGGGAACCAAATGAAAGCTAGAAATACTGAAGATATAAGTTCTATCTTGCATAAATGATTTCAAATAAATTCTTTAATTTTTCTGTTGATTATTTATCAATAAATATGAGACTGATGTAAGGCATAACTAATAATAATAACCTAGGATCACTTTACCATATATCAAAAGCTACAAGGGTTTAATTTTTAAAGGAAATCACATTATATACATACACACACATATACATATACATGTGTATGCATGTGTGTATGTATTTGGTTTTACTAATTTTATGTGGTGAATTAGCAGAAATTATTATTTTTCCATTTTAATTAAACAATACACATAATATAGATTACATACATTTCAGCAAGACATTCAGTAAATAATAAGCATTTAAATTGTATGAATTTACTGTGGGACTCCCCTCCCCCATTTGTGTTTGAATCACTTTGGGTGATATATTGTGACCAACATATTGTTTAGGGTTTTTGATGCTTTGGAGATTATTTTATTGATACTTTCACCTTAAGCTATGATTTTAATGTGAGGTCACATTTGAAAAAAGATATTTGAAATAATATTTAATTGAATTTGATGTAAATTATTTAGACTTTTTTCTCCAGTCAGAATTCTGATGCTGACATTGTTTTCTACTTATGAAGGGGCACCCAGTATTAGTATTAATTACAAGTTACTATTTTGTGTAGGGCAAGAGTAAACACCAAACATGCCCTGACAGCAGAGGAAATTATTGTTTCAAACCATTGCATTCAGAAACACTTTTTTTTTTACTTTTGTGCTTTCTTCCTATCCTACCTTTGTCGTAAAAATGCTGTCCGGTTAAATGTCCACTTAGAAGGTTTCTCCTGGAGTTCCTGGGTTAAAGAATTCGTAATGGGTACAAATGATGGATCTAGAAACTTCAGGGCAAATTGTGACCTGGAAAGAATCATGAGTACATAAGCAAAATAATCAGCCTCTGCTTTTAGAGCCAAAGGCCATTAAAGTTCAACTGGGCTGGTCCAGGCAGCACTATACAAAAAAAAAGTCTCCATACTCCTGTCACCATCACCTCTCCTTTAACTCTCTTTGGTTAAACGAAAAAGAAGGAAATATGACAAAAAATATACACTTAATGTTCTCATTGCTTTACTGGAGAAATCATAAAATGGCCGTCAAGCATAGAGAACAGAGGGGCTGAGGCTGAAAACGACAAGTAAATGTAAAGCATGCACCTAGCCGGAGTAACTCAAAGAGTCAGCACCGCGGACAGCGACCGCCCACAAAACCAGGCAGAAATCCAAACCACTTCAACACTCCAGGGCCTGACTTAAATTGTTTTTGGACAGGAAAGGCAGAGGAGAGTGCAGATGGGCGAGGGGGCGAAGGGTGGTCTTCTGCCTTAGCCTCTTCCATCTCGAATCTGTTTATGGTTTAATTCACAATTTCCTGACAAAGGAGGCCCATTCCCTCAACTTCCACAGACTCTGTGGAGGTCTAGCGGCAGAGGTGAGCAATTTGAGGGATTGGGCGGGAAAGGTTTCCTAGTGCCTAATCCAGGTCCGGGACACCAGGGGGTTGAGAGCATAGGGCAAAGTTTCCCCTCAGGCGCAACACATACATCTAATGGCCAGATTCTGGCCGCAGGATTTTGTTTTTTTCCTGTCATCCCCCTCCCCCAAACAATCTACAGGCCCTACTTAGTGTGCAAGACACCCCTCCCCCACTACACACACACACACACACACACACACACACACACACTCGCAGAAGAGAACTTATGGGTCTGAGAACGGGGGTGGGAGTCTCCAGATACCTAGGGAAAGCCAGAATCGCCTGATAAGGAGCCAAGCTAAAGAGCTAAGGAGCAGGTCCTTTCCCCACTGACTTGAACTGGGTATCTGTGGTTGCGGATGCCTAATTCCAGTTTGTAGGCTGCTTCCTGGGAGGGAATGGGAAGGAGAAAGGAATACAGGACTTAGTGCTGTAGTCTCGAAGAAGATTGCTAACACAGAAGGGGTAGATAAAAGAAACCCTAAGGGAATTCTTCGAACAAACCCCTCATAATTTTTGTAGGGAGGCGGGGGAGCAAGGGAGAGGGGGATAAGCAAAGCGCCTGCGCCATTTAATCGCCCCTGGACTGACCGTCACCACAACCATGCCGAACCCTGCAGACCAGGGAAGGGAGAATGCTCTCACAAGGCACACATAATCATCCCTTCCCTCTTCCGAATAGCAACTCTCCCTTCTATCACTCTCATCTCCTCACTACCATCTTCATTTTGGGGAGAGGGAAGGGGACACAGATACTGAAAACTCGTAGAAAAGCAATCGGATAGATTTGGCTAGTAGTATGGGTAAGATTTTTTCTTCCTTTAAATAATAAACAGTGATGATGATCACGCAGTTATCTTGGCGAAAATGTCTCTGAGATGTCAAAATACCTTCCTCATCTTATGTTCCCCGCCACCACCAAGCTCCAAACCTTCCCTTTCCCAATTCCCCAACCATAAAATAATAAATAAACCAGAGGAAAGAGAGAGAGAGAGAGAGAATGAGAAAAATAAATGGCCACACTTACCTAAATCCCGCGTGGAACATATACATTCGGGGCACCCTCGGGCTGGCGTACTTGGGAGTGGTGAAGATGTTATCCTTTTTCAAGGACACATAGCTGATCAGAGATAAAATCAGCAAGGCGACGCTGAGCATGACCAGCCCCAGTGCACTAACCACCCGGGCCATTTTGCAATTTCTCATCTTGGGGAAGGCGTGAGTCAGTGAAACCCAAGAAATCGGTCCATTGAGTTGCAAACGGCTGCTTGGGGAAGGGGGGGTGGGGGTGGTGGTGGCGAACGTGGGGGTGCGTGTGTTGGAGGGTGAGTGTGTGTGTGTGTGTGTGTTGAGTTGGGGAGGGCGCTGGGCTGGGGGAATAGCGAAAGGGTGGGGGTGGGCAGACAGAGAGAATCCGAACCCCCTAGGAAAGGGAGAGCCGGGACAATGAAGAATTAAAAATAAAATGGAGGGCTAGAGCTGCGGTGTCGAAATGGCAGCTGGCTGCGTTCTACGTCTCCTCTTCGCTGTCTGCTCATTCTACACCGCGAGTTTCCAGTGGGGCTGCCATCCCTCTTCGAGGATGCAAGATAAATGTGATTGGAATAATGTTACAGTTCGATCTAGGCACAGGATTTAATTAATGAACTCTAATCTCCCAAATAACCTTGGTGGGGGGGAGACAGTGAGGGAGGGAAGAGGAGGGGGCTAAGGGAGAGGAATTAAGGGAAAAATGCATCAGCCCACAACATTGGGCTGTTCAGGACCAGGATGGATAAAGCAAGAAGGAGGATGAATGTGGGGAGACAGACACCCAAACTTATTTTAATGGACCATTCATAACTTTATAAATAAATCGCAGAATAGAGAGATAAATAACAGGATTTGCTGCCTCCGAGGATAAACACCAGCTGTGCTCTGCCCGTATATGTAGTGAAAATAGTATTAGTGAGGCACGCATTTAAAAGCTTCTATATCCACTAAGAGAAATTCACCCCCACACCACTCAGTAACCCACGTCCCCACACCCTGAACAATCACCAGCCAACCATTACTGTTATTCCACCTCCCCTGAGAGTATCTAAGCAAAGACTATCCTGCCTCCACCATGGTGTGGGCTAGCCTCAACTATACAAAATATCTTCTTGTCCAAATAACTGATGGCCCTCTCCTCATTAACAGACAGAAGCACCCAGTAACCCTCCCACATCAAACAGTGGTAAAATAGTGAAGTTTTCCTTTCACTTGAGTGTAGGGACTTTAGCTTGTACTTCTTTTTATCCCCATCCCCAACACCTAACTAAAAGGTGAACATACTCAGTGGTTGAACAATACATGTTTGTTGATAAATTGAAGATCGACAGTGCCTAGTTCTTTCTGAGCCTGAGCTATGACTTCATTCTTGGCTTCTCTGGTTTTGCTCCCATTCTCTTTTACTAAGTCCACTATCGCAGGACCTTAGGGAGAGAACATACTTAGGATCACTTTTAATTGAGCATTTGAGGGTTGAGAAAAAACCCTATATAGATAATACAACCCCTTGCAGTAAGCACTAGGCCTTTGGTACATTAGCTATACCTTTGTCTGGCCTTGCCTTCCAATATTGGTCAATTGGCACTTCCAATATTTGTCAGTTAGAGTGCTGGAGATAAGAATTTGGCTGTGAAGGCCTTTCTCCAATAAAACAATCCAAGGTATTCCAGGCAAAAGTGCTTTTTTTCAGAATTCCCATGACTTCTTGTTTGTACTTCTCATAGGTACACATCACATTCAACCTTGTGGCATTTTTATTTACATTTTATATCCCCAACTAGACTCTAAGCTCCTGGAGGGGTTCACCTCTGTTCCCCATAAGGCTTAGTGCACAGACTTTCAGGAAATATTGTTTAAAAGGCAACCTGATGATTTTGTGGAATAGAACATATAATGTGGTGATGGGATCATAGATTCTGAGCTGGAAGGGACCTTAGAGGTATGAATCCAATCCTTGCATTTACTAGATAAGGAAACTCAGTGATGTTGAGTGACTTGACAAAGGTCACACAAATCTCTTTGTTTTCAAGAATAGAGCATGGAATTTCTTACCCCCTGAAGCCTCTGATATCAAGGCACAGGAAATGGAATAAGAACATTACATTTTTTTCTTCTGCCTATTGTTTCTGATTCTTCCTCATTTTCCTAAATGACTCTCACATGGCATTTTAGTCCCACATAGCTTCACTGGAGCAATAACAGAAGCACAAATTTTAATGCAGATTTTTCTTCTGGAAAAGAAAAAAAAGCATTAAGAGAAATAGTAAAATGTTAACAAGAAAAAGAAAAAACTAATGATAATAAGTTGGCCCATATTTGCATCTGCTATAAGAACATACTGTAGTGGGAAGAACTTTGGCCTCAGAGTTAGGAGCCCTGTTTTCTAGTTTAATGACTCAAACTCACTAACTGAACACTTTATTTCATGCCTCTCAGGCTCAGTTTTCTCATCTAGGTGAACTAGATCATTTCTAAAGTCCCTTCCAGCTCTAAAATTTTGTAATTCTAAAAGCAACTCAATTTGTCACATATGCAATTTTACTTAGGTAGGGTAGTTTCTTTATAGAGAGCAATGAGTTTCAAAAGTCCTGTTTTAATAAAACAACAAAAAAGTTTAAAAAGTTTATTTTTAATGTGTTTCTTTAATGAAGATATTGTGATTTAGACTATACTTTTTAAATGAATGCATTGTCTTTTTGCAAGATTTGAGTGGAGTACTTTGCCTCAGTTGGCACCTTCTCCCAATAACACATCATATCAAGTAGGTGACAGTAGACTGATTCTTGAAGGCTATGCTAGGAGAACACAAACTCTAGCAGGTCTTATCAAGCTAGAATGATTTTGAATAGAACCTGATCAGCAGAGTATCAGCCTGGTTGAGTTAGGAAAGTCCCAGGACCAGAAATCTACAGGTTAACAGAGTTTGGGCTTTTTTGTTTTGTTTTGTTTTGTTTTTAGCTATAGTAACTTAGGAAGTCTACATGGAAAGGTTTTGCAATGTGCATTGGTAGATTTACTTATACTGATGTAATCCTTTTGATGTACTTGATTGCATGGTTCTGTGTCAGCCACTTACATCTTATCTTTTTAAAAATTAAATTTTATTTCAATCAATGAAAATCTACCTTCTGTCCCTCCCACCCACCCCAATTGAGGAAGACAAAAAATAAAATGTTTGTTTTGAATGTGTATAGATAAGAAAAAATTCCAGCACTGGCCAGGAGCTATATCTCAATCAGTAAGTACTCTCAGTCCATCACCTCTCTATCAAGAGGTATGTAGCATGCTTTATCATGAATCCTCTGGAATCAGAGTTTCTCATTGCATCGTTCAGAGTTTCCAAGTCTTTCATAGTTGTTGTCTTTACAATATTACTGTTAACTTTATAATTTCTTCTGGTTCTGCTCCTTTTGACATTTGTTCATTTACAAGTCTTCCCAGGTTTCTCCTTTTTTTTTAAATAGCACAATAGTTTTCTATCACATTAATATACCACAATTTGTTCAGCCACTCCTCAATTAATGGACATCTCAATTTCGAATTCTTCATAACTGCAAAAATAACTGCTATACTTTTGTACATATGAGTCCTTTCCCTTTTCTATCTCTTTGGTATTTAGACCTAGTAGTGGTATTGGTGGGTCAAAGGTGTGCACAGGTTAGTGTCTTTTAGGGAATAGTTCCAAAATTGCTTTCCAGAACCAGCCACTTTATCTTTTAAGAGATATCTGCCAGTCTACCTCTTCTGAGAAGGCACAACTCATACTGTGTGAGAAGAATGATACTACATAAATGCAAACTATTAGTGAGAGCACTGATCTAATAAAAAACGGATAGGACTAGTCCTGTGGTAGAGTTAACCAATTGTCTATTTGATTCCATTTGAGATATTAAATGATCTACTTTTGGATGTATCTTGAATTGAAATGTAATAACTGGAAGGAACCTGAAAGATCAAGCCCAATCCCTTTTATTATACCAATGAAGAAAAAGTGATCCTGAATAGGGAAGCATCCTGATCAATTCTCATAGTGAGTTGGTGGCATAGAGAACCCATATTTTTGACTCCTAGTCCAATGAAAGTTCTCTTATCCATTTTCTATCTACTCCCATAATCTTTTGGTGTTGAGTAATTTTTCAGTTATGGCACATTCTTCATGAATCCATGTGGGGTTTTCTTGGCAAAGATACTGAAATGGTTTGCCATTTACTTCTCCAGCTCACTTTTCAGATGAGGAAACTAAGGCAAATAGGGTTAAATGACTTGCCCAGGGTCACACAGCTAGTAAGTGTCTGAGGCCAGATTTGTACTCACAAAGATGAGTCTTCCTGACTCCAGGCCTCTCATTCTATCCACCCAGCCACCTAGCTGCATCCGATAATCTATTAATATGCTGAAAAGTACTACTGTTAGTGTCACTCATTCAGTTGATGAGCACCTATTACATTTATAGTGTACCAAGTTCTATGGGGAATTCTAACAAGTATAATACTTGGACTCTCAGAATGAGAGAAACTGGAAGATGCCTTACAGGTCAGATAGTTGAGCCCTCTCATTTTGCAGATGAGGAAATATGCCAAGAGAGGTTAAATGATTTAACTAAAGTCACAAAACAGAGAAAATTGAAGTGAAAGGACTCAAAGACAAGTCTTCAGACTTCAAGTCAACTCCTTTTTCCAGAAAAGCACATTTTCCCCTCAAGGAACTCACAGTCTGTTCAAGGAGACAAATATGCATAGATTGACAATAGTACAAAGCAGTCTATGACAGGTGTCAGATGAACAGTAGAAACGATAGAATTATGGAAGTTGAGAGGAGGGAATAAAGACTTGAAGATGCAGTAGTCAAGAAGAGCTTCTTGGAAGGGGTGATATTTAAGTTTGGCCTTGAAAGGTGAATTGAATTTCAATAGCTTGAAAGGAGGGGAAAAGTTATTCCTGGCCAAAGGAATGGCAAAGGATCACAGAACATAGAGCTTGAAGGAGTCAGAGATGTCCTTACATTTAGTCCAATTAGCTTGTTTTATCATGAGGAAATTGCAGAGGAGATGGGGAAGTGATTTATCTAGATAGTAAGTAGCAGAGATCAGCTTTGGGCCCAGGTCTTCTGAGTAAAAATTCAATGTTCTCCCTACATTTTATTGGAAATGTGTGTGAATGGTACTGCAGGGTGATGGTGACTAGACCAGTTTGAGCAGAGCAGAATTCATGCAGGGG